CGGAGTCACCTCCCCATTTTGGGGGGGGGGGGCCGTGTGGCATGAACCTCGTTAGAGAAACGAGGACCTGCTCGAGCGCCGAATGGCGCCTCACCACGACGTCGTCGACACAAGGAGCAACGGGCGTGCGGCCCACCGGGCTCGTGCCGCTTTTGCTTAGCACCGTGCACAGCTGGAGATTAGGAAGGAAAGTCTGTACCATCGTTTGAACCGCACTTCCTTAAACACGTAGGCCCCTAACCGGTCTCGTAAGAGCGACCGCGTTATGTTGCTCAAGTCCGGGTGGAATACGCGCTCGGTTAAAAATCACTCCAGTGTTTTTACTCCCGGCTCTCGCGGGTGAGTTCGACGGCCCTCCCTCTGGAAGGTGCGGCATTGCCAGCAGCTGCAAAAAGCTCTCTCTTCCAGCTTATACTTCATATTAAGTGATATAATTGTTTAGAGACGTCAGGCAGCAAATGCCCAGACACTTAAACCCATTGCTGCAAAATGTAGTAGGTACGGTGGCTTTAGGTTTAAGATTTACTTGCAGCTTCCAAGTAATATCCACCCACTGGGTTAAATAATAGCATATCAACAACACTTCAATATGTTGTAGAGGTATGGGGCAATCTTTCCTATATATATGCCAATTAGCATCCACAGAGCACCACCAGGAATTAATCTGGCCCAGTAACAATTTCATGCAGTAACTCTTCAATTACTGCTGGCTGATAAATACAATTAGGCCTGAAAATCATTTACTAAATCAATATATTTTCCAGTCTGTGCATCCTGTTTACTGAACTGCTTACATAAAGAAATGGCTGGATTAATGGGATATTTAAACCACTTAGCCAAAAGCAGTTGACAAGAAGTCGCCATAAAACCCTTGGTGTGGGCCCTGCTATTCTTATTATTATTCAAACAATGCAGCTGGAATATTGGGGGGAAATTATGGCTGGCGTAGCTTCATCAAAATGGACTGAAATTACACGGATGTTGTGTTTGGCCTGGGACATACCTGTGGACAGCTAAATGCCTACGTACATTGATATATTATCTTTTATTAGTCTACTGCTATGCCACAGTTCATAGCAATTCGACCTCACCCTTCATTGTAATCATTACTCACAAATAAGTTATTCAACCTATGGGCCGCCGTCATGCGCCTCCACTGCAAGCCCATTTCAGGCTGATCGTGTAGAAAAGTGGGTAATGGGAGACACATGGGCGAACGGAGAAGTCGAGCAAAATTTACAGGCCCTGCTGGAGAGGCGGGCTCAGGCACACGTGCATAGATGCATATATGCTAGGGTTGGAAGGGACTGCAACATCTATGGGGACAATGCCGTGCCACATCTATGGGGACATGCCGTGCTTGATATGTGAATGAAATGAGGAATACATACATGCTACCACTGGGTACTTGTCACCTGTCTGCTTACAGCTGACACTGGCTTCTGTGTGACTGCAACAGTATGACTTTGTTATTCAAAACTGGTAGATAGTTGCTATGCCGACACGCTATCACATGCCACGAATGTGCACGCCCGGCCTCTGGGAAAATAAGGTCCGGATGAAACCCCTTTTTCCACATACTGCCTCAAAAAATGATGCACGTGGGGATGTTAAACAGATGAGGCATGAAAAGGGGGTGGTCAGGTTGCTTAGCCTCAGTTTCCTCCAGATGTGCTGTTTCACAACCTCAGTGGAGGGACTTTATAAAGGAGCACAAACGCTTATGCTTTGAGAGATCTGGGTGACTGGCACCACATTATACCATTATTAATGATCTGTTGAGGAAGACTCTTATGAAGGTGTGAAAAATGTCTAGGGGGATATTAAATGGTTCTTTGACGTGAGTACCAAAAACTGATTGGCAACCTGTCTCCCTCTCCTCGTGAGACTTGTTTAAGACCCAGAGGTCTGGCAGTGTCAACTGTCTGCTTAGCATTTTAGTTATGTCCCAGCCCTACCCTGCTAGGTGGAGTCGGTATGTAGTTCAGCTTCCTACGCAGGCAGGAAAGGCTGCTGAGGTTACAAGAGAGGTGAACAGAGATATGCAGAGTTTGGCTGCTTTTGGGCAGATACATATTCCACTTCAACAGTGACATCCAACTCCCTTCATCCGCCTTCAGGAAAGATGAAGATGTTGGGACAGCATGCCCTCTCCCAAATCAGCTGGGAGCTAGAGAGCTCATCACCCCCCACCAAAACCCTTCAGGCTGAGCCATGAGATGCTACAAGATGCATCTTGTACCTTTACTGGAATCCCTTTTAGGTGACATTTTCTGAGCATTTAAAATTACTCACCGCCGGATGCCTTTCCTGCAGGAACTGTTGATTATACAATCTGCCGGTTATACCAATCCAAACCCACAGCAGTATGGAAATGGATTTGTTCCTCCACTATTGATGAACCAGCCCAAATAATTACCAAAGTGCTTTTTTCCTGGCAAGAGGAATTCTTTTTTTTTTTTTTTGCAGCAAAGAAACAGACTGAGAAGGACTGGGTTTTGAATTAAATCACAGAGCACCAAATGCAGACTCCAACTTAAGTGCCATCCAGGACTGGCATGCATCCTCCTTTAATTCAATGTTCAATTTTATTAGATGCTTAAAAATGGATTTAGTTATAACCCTGCTCCTGGATCTCCCTCTGTCCTCTGGTCTCTCTCAAGTTCAACAGCAGAACCAGTGCATATGCATGAGGTTTATCTGTGTTTTGCAAGTCACCTTAACAATTTGTTTGGCCTTGAAAAACCGGAAAAAACAGTTGGTTACCTAGACTCTTAAACCTGCAAGTCTAATTTATGGAGCATATTAACCCTTGTAAGCCCAGCAGCTAACCACCAAGTACATTTTTGGGCTGCATCTGTGACTTGTGAATTGCCTTTTGTCTCTTCAGAAAGTGCAGGATCCAGGAGCTTCTATTTAGACCCTGCACTTTAGTCAAACAGTTGTTCCCAAACCATTTGAACATCCAGCCCACTGGGAGAGAGATACGGAGAGCAAGTGCCTTATTCGGCACCTTATTTGGCACCTTATTCTTCAGGCAGGAAAAGGTGGGCAGCCCAAGAGGAGCCTCATTTTATATCTACCTTGCTCATGTAAATCCCACAGAGAAAAAGAGATTCTTTGCATATCAGTTTACTACATGTTCCCACACCTGTGCGTCCAGACAGCTCAGTGTCTAACCACTGAACAAAACACAAGTTCTTACTTTGGCCTGTTCAGCTGCATTGGAACGTGCGATTATTGAAATAAAAACAGCTGCATTTTTCACCATGCTCTGTTCCCACTGCGACGTCAGCAGGACATCCACATTAGCTGCCAGGATGAAGGCACAGATGGAAGCACATAGCACTGGTGAGGGGCTATGACCCTAGAATCTCCCCTTGTACACCTTTCTGACGGGATTCTTCAGTGTTTACATCCAGAAAATCTGGGTGTATCCCAACACGCACACATCTGGAGCAATGAAAACAATGCACTACAAATGTTCAGTAGACCCTTTGCAATTTTTTACCTCTATAGCAAACCAATTTCTTCCAGCTTTGCAGCAAGTGCCCTCACGTGAAAATCTAGAGGGTAACCTAAGTTATCAGACTAAGTTAGCCATGCTACCTGTTGGGTGGAAAATAAAGACCATTTAAGCAGAGGAAAACTTTTCTCTCCAGGTTTGCATAAGTCAAAAGCCTCTAAACACATAATGTGAAAAACTAGGCCAATATTAAATTAGTTGCTTTATTGCATTTCTTGGCAGACACCCAAGAAAGGTTACATCTAGGATTTGCAGAGGAGTCCATATGTCTCGTCTCCAAAGAAAAGCAACCTAGAATGCCACGGCAGAATAACTACTATCTCCTTGTATGGTAGCTCCTATTCCGAGGGTGCCTTTTTATGCTTGACTTTAGCATCTTTCTGGACTGTAAAAGGTCCAAAAAGTACCTTTTGCAGGTACACTGTCAAAGAGTATGCATTCTTACTTTACATTGGCCAACCTGAGCTGGCTAACTGGAGTTGAAAGTAATTGTGAAACCAAGATGATGTGGTGCTAACCAACCGTGTTCAAAGAGCTTTGGGTAGAATTTGTGCTGCTAACCAAACCCAAGTTCCTTTCCCTAAGCAAGGTAAAGTAGCAACAGGACAATCTAAGGCAAGAGCACAGTTTTTAAGCAGTGGGAGAGTCTAGTTTTCGTTTTTGCAGTATAAATGTTCTCTTAGTATGGAATAAAAGTATCCACCGCACAGGGAGGAGCACGTCAGAATAGCTCTTGTGTTTTGGGTCCGAGCCCTACCTTGTTTGCCGAGAGTTTCCCCATACAAATAAGACCCAAAGCAGCAGCCTCCAACACGGTGACTCACAGGCAACAACAGTCTGTGATGCTCTCACACATTGTGGCCACAGGTACTTAGGAAGTGAAAACCAAGGCCTTTGTCACTGTGGTCCAGGTTGAGGGGAGAAGCAAAGCAGGACATTCTCTGTAGCTCACTATAAGCCAAGTACTTTTGCTCAAAGGCCAGTGAAGGCTGGAGACCAGAGACCATGGGACAGAGCCAACCCACTCCCATCACATTTCCTTGAGTATTTTGGGGTGTATATATTTCCTCCAGCTTCTTCAAGCTTTCCGTCGATAAAAAAGGAATTAGTTATTATGACTGTCTGAAAAGAGGGGTTTAGAAGGACACACACATTTTAACCCTCACTGCAGCAATGGCAGAGATAGAAAAAAATGCCATGTGATGTGCTCTTCCCTTTTACTTCCTTGAGTCAAGATAAGCTAGCACTCTGCAGCCCCAGGCAGTGTTTGCTAGGTTCATGGCCTAGGCTCTGCACACTTTAAAATCAAGGAGAGAATACTTCCATTCTTATAGACTACTGGCAAATACCCTCTCTTAATTATACCAACAGAAAACCAGAGTTACTCTTCCCCATTCCAGCTACTGGACCAGTTCATCCACTTAGCACACCTACAGCATCATTTTTCGCCCCAAGCAGACCTTGACCACCTATCCACCTTGAAGTGCGGAACTATCTCCAGAACGATATGGCCGACTCTTTAAAGGGAGGAGGCACTGTCAAGCAAAGCAGGCACATAAAATAAAAAAGGTCTTCTATCCAGAGGTGCAGTTGTTTTACCACATTAAAAAATATCATGCTTAAGACAGAGCCAGTATGGGACACGCTGCTTTCTGACCTGGAGATAGCATCCTGCAAAGGGAAGGCAGAATAACAAGGTAAGATGCAGAATAAAAACCAGCTATTAGCTGGCTTATCATCACCTACTCCCAAGCTCCAAGGCAACTATCAGATGCTGACAATTTCAACACACATGATCCTCATAGACACTGTGTCTCATCCTTTCCAGTGACTGAGACAGAAGGAGATTGTGCATCATGTATTTGCATGTTGCTTCAAGACATCACCTAGAAACTCCCCTGGCTTATTTTATTTGGAGGCAAAAGGACCCTTGAGACTTTGGCTCGGAAGCTGAGCAGCAGAGGTAGTGTTTTATTTGTAAGGTATCCCCCTGGAGGACACTAACCGTTTGTAAAACATTGCCAAACCAAAAAACCAAACAAATAGAAAACCCAGAACATGGCAAAAAATCCGATCAAATGTTATAGAGCAGCATTCAAAAACTGGAACGTAATTACTAGGAGATCTAAAGTGCTTGAGGTCATTTCTTCCCCGTGTGTGACCTGACTCACCCTTCCCTTTGCGAAACACAATGCTATTTCTCAAACCACACCTTGCTGGCTGCACACACGCTCTTACCAATCTTTACGGCACGGTAAAGACATTAAGGCAGATTCATCAGTGATGTATGGAATAAGGATATGTGTCTCCCTTTTTTTCCCCCTCCTCTTATTAAAAAAAACACACCAAAAATCAAAGAAACAACTTCCCATGCAGTGAAACTGATACAGTATCCCCAAACCAAGGCTTTGGCAGGATCTATAAAGTGCCATCATTCAGATCTGATGTTCCCTTTTTAAGAAATGGTGATTAAGAAATCAAGTGCTAGGACTGAGTTAAAAAGAAAGAGTCAACAGACAAACTTTGAAATAGGACTGACTAGCACCCAACAGACATGGAAGCTAGACAGCCATCATGCCGCTGCCCATAGAGAGACAGCGCTTCAAAAAATCGACTGAGTTAAGATCAAACTTCTCATCCTTTAAAAATAAAAAGCTCACAGAACAGCAGCAATGAATCTGAAAGCAGAACCCGCTCACAGACCCCTGGCTCTTGACATGGAAGGCAGCCAATAAATGATAAAAGCTTGACAAAGTCATGTATGAGAGCTTGACCCTGCAGGGCTCCTCACTGATCTCCCTGATTCCAGTGGATATTATGTGCCTGTGGACTGAGCTGGTTACCCATGGAGGCCAAGGAGAGTCTTTGTATTGACTTTGGTGCATGCTGAATTGGCCCTAGAGTGTCGGCAAGGTCAGGACCTTCTGTGCTACCCACCACCTGGCTATGGAGTCAGGAAACTGCCTCCTGACATGCTTTAGGCGGGCCAGTTTGACCCATCCACACAGGCATATAACATCCATTGCAATAACAGCAATTCCAGGTGCATATCAATGGGAGACGCATCCCAGTCAAGCGGAAATATCAACTCTAAGAAAAGAAACTTGGTAGAAACATGGGGATTTGCTCCAGACCCAGCTTCTCAGAGTGAATCTGGCCTGTTTCCCTATTTTGCCAGCAAGGGTCTGCCTACTGGTGTGTACGCAGGAAGCTTTAGTGTGCGTGTGTGCGTATGTGTGTGATTAGTAAACAGGCCTTGTTCTACAGCACGGACTCCTAGGTCGGCGTTCCAGCAAGCGTCTCCAATGGACTCCTTGGTGCTCTCGCTTGCGAGCAAAAGTATTGCAACTACCCTGCCCCGAGGCAGAGAAAGGCAGCTATATCCTAAATTCCTCCAAGTTTTCTGACATCTTCGCTGACTCGGTCCTCACAGCATCCAGGCTGGTCACCAGCTGACAACTGTCCCCCGTGCCAGTTTCAAGCCCCAGGATCTGTCTCTGCACCAGCTTGGAATAAAGGCCGCCTTCATCCATGAGTGCTTTATGTGTCCCCTGCTGCACCACCCGGCCCTTGTCTAGAACAATGATGTTGTGTGCTTTCTCGACAGTGCTCAGCCTGTGGGCTATGACAAGCACAGTGTGGCTCTGCAGATCACCGTATATTGCTTGCTGAATCTGTTGGAAGGAAAAAAAGGGAACACACAAAAGGCACTGTCATTGGTCTGGGAGGAAACACAGGGGCTTTGTGGCTCCTTACTAAGACATCTGTATCTGCGGCTTTCCTCTCTAGATGCACAGAGGACCTACAAACAGGACACCCCCTTAAAGTTAACAGAAGATAAAGGGCTATGGACGTTATTGTCACAAGCTATGCAAACTTCAGCCCACGCATCCTCCGTGCAGAATGCCACGGCCACTACCATAGGTGTAAAGGTTGGTGGTGTTGAGCGTATGGACCCGATCCCGCACGCTGAATGTTCCTTAGGGCTGGGCCCTGATTTGGAAAGTGACTCAGCATTGCCTTGCACCAACAAATACAGGGTTTGGCAAGGCAAAGCTAGCAGCTGGCTGAGCGCAGACAAAGGCAGCACAATATGTGAAAGCAGCATCACAATAGACTGATGTCTGCATTAAGGGAACCAGCTGGCCAGCAGGTATGGTTTCCAGTATACACACCTCTCTGTTCAGAAAGCATCTCCCAGTTGTCATCATAAATAAAGCAGCTGATTTAATTGGCATAAAGCCCCAAATACATTCCTGGTACACCCAGACCTTTAGTTTGAGTGCCTCAGGCACTGTGCTTGAAGTCTACAGAGACAGTTTCAACCCTTCATGCTGTTAGGCTCTTAAGGACTTCCAAATTCCAGCTGCTCTAGTGTGGACTACAAAGATACCTTATATACACATACATTAATAATTAGTTTTCTCCTCATCAGAATCTTCCCATCGCCCTGTTGTGATGGGTGACAGCTGATCCTAGAGATTGCTGCATGTCAGTGGGGTTATTATATATAGTATTCATTACATTGCTTTAGCGTAAGCATAGAGTATGTTGTATTAAACACCCTTCTGCTACCACTGCCAACATCAATGTTCAAGAACCAGCATCTCTAAATTGCAGAGGCATCCTGCTTTGGAAGATGCAGTGCAGTCCATGCATCTCATCATGGTGCCTCGTAAACAGGGGCAGTGCTACATAATAAGCCTAAACACTGGTTCCAGCATCCCAGCCCCATAGCACTGCACTGTATCATCAACACATGCTCTGCCCTCATGCTGTAGTGTGGGACTCCTGACTCACCGTTTGACTCATGAGAACTAATGAGTCAGCCAGGCAAGGAATTATTCCAGCTGCATTATATTGTGGGCTTCAGGTCTCTCCCTCTGAGGCTGATTCAGTTACTGGATCTGAGGTCAGGTTGCTTCTTCAGGCTGCGACTTCATCAAGCCCTTGTATGCCAAGCTGGAAGTAGCGCTGGGGGATTCACCCTCTTTCCTCTTACCAAACCAGTATCCTTGTGCAGTCTAATTGGGCACTGGGGTAGAGAGGTGTCACACCTCAGCCAGACATAAGACAGGCTCTCGCTGCTCTTGGACACTGAGAAACCCTCCTTGCGCTCTCTCTGCAAGGGCAGACCTGCACAGCCTGATGTCCTGGCTACTTTCCAGCCCTGGTAATTATCATCTGCCTTTGTGCAATTTCAACTGGACACAACATTCTTCATTTCCTGTCCTAAACAATGCGCAGCAAGGCTATGCAAAGATTAACTCCTTTAACACCTTGCTAATAGACAGAGACATGACTGTACCCTGAATTAGTAACATCTGGATGTTGACTTGGAGGATGCTTAGTTACAACTTTGTTTGATTCCTCCTTGCCAATCAGTCTCTGGTTCAAACTTGTTTTTATCTCAGTTGCCAGCTGTTACAGAGGCTACATGTTATGCCCAGACTATGCAGGTCCACAATCTAGAAATTACAACTCAGGTCCAGTCGTAGAGCAAGCCCGGAGTAGAGTCTCTTTGGCCTGAATTAAACTGATTCAGCTCTACTCACCGCATGTTCACTCTCTGCATCTAGCGCACTTGTGGCTTCATCCAGTATTAGGATCGAGGGGTTTCTGATCAAAGCCCTTGCAATTGCCACTCTCTGCTTCTGGCCACCAGATAGCTGAGTTCCTTTTTCACCAGCTTCTGTTGGATTAATGGGATAAAATGACAGAAGAATCATGAAGATGCAGCGTGAAGATGGGCTGGCTTCCTTTCACTTCAGAGCACATTAAAGATGCGGCAGTGTTGCATTGCTGGACACACGTTTAGATCAAAGATCAGCTAGGTATCATATTGGCCACTGAGTCCAATCCACTCTGTTTTATCTAGCTCTGCTTTTTTCTGTGGCATTTTTTTTGCTGCCAGGATTTCCAGGTAGCAAATTTTGCCCCTGTGGTACAAATTTGCAGCATGGGGCATGTTTTAACATGCTGGGCATGCAGTTTGTGACCCTGCAAGGAGGTTGGCAGGGCCACAAACTGCACAAGCCTGCACATCTGGATCCGGCCCCTGGGTTTATCTTGTGAAGCATATTTCTCAACTAACAGTGCCATATGGCACCCTGTGGCACCCCGGTTCCACAGCACCCTGGTTGAGAATCAGTGCATTAACCTGTGCTCAAAGGCTCCATTCACAATTACCGATTGTAAGCTGCTCCCGCAGGCATGAAATGCTTTAAATAGTTAAAGCGCCTGACTCCTGCTGCACAAAAGCCAATGAAATAGTTTTCTATACCTGTGTGATAGCCGTCTTGCAACTCTGAGATAAACGCATGGGCATTGGCCTTCTGGGCGGATTGAACCACTGACTCGAAAGAGACCGAAGTTAGACCATATGAAATATTGTCAGCAATGGACCGAGCAAACAACACTGGCTCTTGGCTCACCAGAGAAATCTGCAGAAAGGAAGGGGAGAATCAGCCAGTCAGAACCAAGTGAGAAGAGTCACAGTTTAATGACTACAGTCTTCTTTCTGGTGATCATCATTTGTTCCAGTTGGCTTAGCGAGTGCAGATGGCTGAGTTCCACCATCAATGTAGCCACAGAGTGCCTGACCCAGGGCTTTCAGCCAGGCCTCTAATTGCACTTTCTTAGCCTGCCCGAGTGAACAACAGGGCTGGACTCTGCAAATGAACCGTGTTAACTGTTTCACTGCTGGTCCTTGCTCTAGCGATTGCGTATCAGGACAGTGGTGCAAACACATTTTGCCACCTGCGACTGGCTGGGATGGGGGCACACACCAAGCTCAGCCTAACTGAGAAAGGACATGTGAGTTGTTCAGCCTCTAAACTCAGACCGGGAACATTTGGCTGTGCCTTGTGGTCCTCTCCACTTTTGGAAAGTACTGGCTGAGGCAACGGCCTAGCAACCCACACAATCAGCTGACATACAAAACCAATTAAAGCGTGAGGTCAGGATTAAGTGCTCCATGCCAACAGAGCACAATGGCTTAGCGGGGTGGCAAAGAATCAGACCTGAAACAGCCACACTGCAGACATATGCTGCAGCTCTCCAAGACACACTTGAATTCCAGAATTGGAAAGCAATGGACACGACTGCTGTCATTTCTTACTTGCTTAGCAACAGCTTTTGCCTCCCACCTGTAAAGCACCCACTTCAAATGGCAGAAGACGCGCTGCATTTCGAAGCTGCCTTGCATTTAAAAACAAAGAAAATCTTCTTAGCGATTGCTTAGAGGGATAGATATGTATAGAGAGCATGGGTTAAAGCTCATCTGTAAAAATAATTCTCTTCCTTACTTGTGTTAGTAACATAAATAGAAAGGATTTAAAAAAAAAAAATCTTAACAGGCTTTTAGCAACGCATGTGATTGGCTTGCCTTTAAAATATCTCAACACAGACAACAAATATTGGCTGGTCACTTCTATGTTTGCTTTCAAGTCAGTTCTCAGATTGGGTTCTCATAGACAAGCTCACTGTGGTGCACCCTGAGTTATAAACCCAACAGGAGAAGGGCTATATGTCGGAAAAAAGGATGATCTTGTGTTGAAAAGCACAGGGACTAGCACGCAAGAAACTAGTTTCACGGCTGGCTCTGATGTCCCCTAACACCAGTAACTTGCTCTTTCTGAACCTGTTTCCCCAAAGAAGGAAAAGGGAAAGAAAAGGTTGATTTTTGTGAATGTTTTCCCCACCATGGGAATCTTGAAACTTTTTGGGTGGGGTGCAGGAGTGGGGATTCAACTTCAGGCTTTGGGGGCACATTTTGGAAGAGGCCAAATTTTGGCCCACATTTGTCCACACTGTGTGGCCTGAATAGTCTACAGTGCTATGCTCCACGGCAGATTACAGCTGTAATACATTGATCACTAGTAACTCGTACCACTGAGTGCAGGTATTTGTGATCATACATGTTAATAGGCCGCTCGTCCAGCAGGACTTGCCCATCTTGAAGAGGGTAGAAATTCTCCAGTATGTTGACACAAGAGCTTTTCCCGCTGCCCGATGGACCCACCAACGCGGTCACCTTGCCAGGAGAGAGGGTGAAGGACACGTTCTGTAACAGAAAGATAAATGATACCAAAGACGTTAATCTGTCAGAGATCATCTGAGATCAGAGGCAGATTCTTGGTCTGACCGGCCCCTTGAGGGATCCGAGAGATGTGGACTTCTGTCTCAATATTAAACAGCGATGAGAGGCATTCTAGCATCTAATTTCACATCAGGACTTTTTCAAAGAGGCAAAATTATAGACACCGATACCAGAGTAAACTTCTGCTCAGCCCTCTGCTGATCCCTGCTGTGCAGAGGACCTGACGCTACATTGTCCAGATTAGAAGAGACCAACTCAGGCAGCTACATCATTTCTTTTGATGAAAATCAAGAAAAAGGTGAAGCAAACAGTCTGGGACAAACTGGGCTGGTCAGGTTACAAGAAGTGACGGAAGCGGCTTTGTGGCTCTTGGCAGAGTTACAGTTTGGCATGACAACAACCTAACAGACCCTAGAAGTTGGAGGAAATGTTCCCAGTTGAAATCACCTAGCTGTGTTTCCACTGAGTGAATATTCATGGGTCCAGCTGCCGTCCTTCCTGGGCATGATTTACAGCAGGGGGAAGGGTGGACTGAATGGAGCGAAAGTCCCTCCTCCTGGCTGCTCCTATGTCCACCAGGACACTGCTGGACCTTCCTTGTCCTGATGCTGGGAAACATCTTGACCAGGCCAGGCCTTCGAGAGAGAAACAACGGTATTCCTACCAGCTTCCCACAACTCCCGAGTCCCTGCAGTCTTGCTTGTCGGACTTGGGCTCCTGCTCTTACTCCTCCCTTGTGTGTCCTCTTCCTTCCCCACATTAGTTTTCCTCTTTCCTACCTCTCTCCCTTGTTCTTACTCCATTAAGAGCCTGGCTTAGCTGGCAAAGACAACTCCACCTTTTACAACCCCACGGCAAGCTTGAGATAAGGAGGGCAGCTCTAGGCAATGCCTTAAAACAGCCTGATGCTGATACAGGCTCCCCCAGTGCGGAGTGGCCAAGGAGACCGTGGTCCCGACCTGCATTTCTCCAACAGCCAGCCTGCAGGCACTAGAAGCACCAAAGAGAGAAGCCGTGCTTTCTAATTCTGCCTTTCTCTTCTGCTCCTTTTGCATGCGTTTCCCTAATTTTCTCTTTAAGGAAACAGAAGCAAACTCAAACAATGACAGCAGCAGCTACAGTTGCTCCACACCATCTGTTCTACCCATCGAGCCTTTCCCGGAGTGGATGGTCAATATGATCTTTAACACCATCTGAAAGACTGGAGTTTTGCTTATTAAAAAAAAAGTCTTAATACCAAAGTAAGGAAAAGGGAAGAAGGGAAATTGTTGCAATGCAACCCTTACTTAACATCTTAACTCCTTCTCTTCTTTGGTGTCTTTAATAAATGGCTCCAAAAAAAACCAGAAAGAAAGAAAAACTAGTGGTGGTTTTTACAGGAGCCAGCCAGTATTAGGCTGGCATAAGACCCTGAGCCACACTTCATTGTTTCATGTTGCAACAGTGAATGAGAGTTTGACTAACATCTTCCTTATTGGTCCCGTGACGTCCCATTTACACAGGCACCATCCTGTAGGCTTGTTCCTCACAATCTATTTTTCAAGGCTTTGCCAAGCCCAGATTTAAATTACTTCAACATTGGGGCTTTCAGCACTTCCCTGGGGAGATTACACCACTGTTTGCTATTTGTCCGTAACTGGCTTGCTGAAAAAACATTGCACTTGGCCTAGTCAAGCAGGGGATGCTCTCTCCAGAGCTATGTCTTTAGCGCCACAGCACTGAATGCAGGGCATCCCGTGACTCTCACCTGCAGGACTTGTGTTGCAGGGCGGGTGCGGTAGGAAAAAGTCACGTTTCTGAACTCCACTTTACCATCCACGTGGTCTGGGGCCAACGTCCCATCATTCAACATCATTGGCTTGCGATCGATAAACTCAAACACTTTCTCGGCAGCTCCAACTCCCTGCATCAGTCCACTGTAGACAGAGCCAACAGACTACAAGGGAACACAAAAGAGGTCCACGGTTAGACCTGTCTGTAGGATGGGCCTAGAGAAAGGATTCATTAATACAGAGGGAAAAATAACAATCATTAAAATAGAGCTCTGTCTTGGATCCCAGCATACATAGTGCTAGAAAGCAACTTCCCAGATCCCATGGTGGCTCGGGGCTCAGTCTAACACTAGCTGCACATGTGAGCGTGTCACCATGAAAGGACCCGTGGTAAGCGTGTGTGTATGAGTGTGAAAATCAGGGGCAGAAAATAAGGGAGAGGTCTCCCCGAAAACATCCACACATGGATTAAAACATGTCTGTCTTCTCTCTGACAAAGACAAGCCGCTCCCCATAACAACCATACTCTGCAGTGGTTCGATGCCTACAGGACTCGAACATGTTCTGTCAGCGCTGAGCGCAGCCACCCACCCAACACTACCACGCAGGGGCAGTTGACAGAAAGACACCCCCTAACATTTTCTTTGACACTTTTTTTTCAGCTTCCACCCCATGCCCAAGCTCTCAGACAAGGCTCTCGGAAAAGCTTGGCTAAGGAACAACAGCTTGGAATCTGCGCGAGCTGCTGCAGCCCCGAGAACAGATGGCCTGTGCCAAAAGTGTGGGTTTTAATTCGGGTTGATTTCTGCACAAAGGCAGGGGTGGCTGGAGCACCCTGGTGATTGCACTCAGCCGGGGCAAAACCTGGACACGATCATTTCTGTCCTGCTTAGCGGAAATTGGAGGATCCCAAGAGACAGGCCGACATGTGCAGACCCTGCAAACCACACGCCACCCCGCCCAGAATCCTGTCTCCCTCGTTCTCTGCCAAATTAGCAGCTTGAAGCCAATTACCAAGGAAAAAAAAAAGAATACAATTAAGTTTTTAATGGACCCTGAAATTTAACAGGCAATCTCTAAATCCTTCTATCCTTCATACAGGAAAACTGGCCTGCAAGGCATCCAAGACTCAGCCCTTCAAGCTACAGGCCTACGGAGCTCCCCACTCCACTTCCGACCACCAGTGTCTCATTGCAAGATGAGTGGCTTTCAACGACGTGGTTCTTCCTGGCCAGTGCTATTTGCTGAGCATGGCTGTCTCCTCCGCCCATCTTTGGGAATGGGAGGCACTGGGCGAGGAAGCTGGAGGCGAAGACATGGTTCTAACAGAGGACATCCCAGATGCCAGCAGTTAGCACAGCAGCAAAGGTCATTTTGATCCTGAAAAATGTGATCTAGAAAGCTAATGGGAACAAAGCTCAGAGCCAGGCTCTCTGCTGTTGTACAACAGCGTCTCTCCATAGAAATCCGTAGGCCAGATTGACACCAGCCCAGGACCTGGCTCCCAGGGCCCTCCAGATCCAGATTCTCTTACGCTGTTCAGAGCAGCAGCATCCACACACATCCCGTGACATCCAAAGCAGCTTTTTAATGGGATAAATGGGCCCACGGTCACTCTTTTCATGGTGCCTCCTCCCCAGGATAGGAGTGCGGTGATATCATTACCCTTGACACAACTTTCCGGTAAAACCCTACTTTCACCACAAAGCCTACACACACCTCCCATAGATTGAGAGTATCATGGAGAGAAAGCACACAGCTTTCTGTGCTGTGTCTATTTTAAAATACTCAGAAAATGGTAAAATGCTACCCCACTTAAGACCTCAGCAGAAGCTACCCTTCTTCTTCCCCTCTCCAGCCGTCCACCCCAGGGCACGAGAGAATCTGGGACATGGGGAAACTGTACTCACCTCCATGCAGTCTCCCAGGACGAACTCATAAATAATGAAGGAGATCAGGTTTCCACTGGTCATTTGCCCAGAGATCACCAGGTGGCCGCCGTAGTAGAGGATGCTGACCTGCACCACGAGAAGCGTCAGCTGCAATCAAGCACAGACATACAAAAAAATCAACCAGCTGCTTCTCTGGTGCACCCGTGATCCAAAACTCTGCCACCCACACCCCCAAACATTCAGGGTACCTGGGCTGTCTGCCTCGAGGCTGTACAAAGTGACTGCAAGTCCAAGACAAGGAGCATGGATAGTAGAGGGATAAAATAGTTTGAACGCAGGCAGATGTGCACCTTTTATTCATACTGATGGACAAGGTGTCTAAATCCCCTCAGTTACTTTGAAAGGATGAAGTGTAAAGCATCTGATGAACAAGGGACAGCTAGTGCACGCAGCAGTGCAGGGTCATCAACATTTAAAGAGGGCTTTCAAGGCAGGACTGAGGAAGCCACATGTATCTGGATTAGGCCCAACTTCAGGAGGGAGGCCAAACTGGTCCCAACATTTGCATTAGATGGCACCAAACTCTCGGTATGTCCCTACAACAGTTTGTTAGCCTCTGAAACGGGAAACAGCTCCGTGCGATCCGAGGCCCAAGACGGTGGGGAAATTTCAGGTCTGGGGACTTGAAGGTAAATGCCCTGCCCATTCCCTGAAACATTTGTTTGGGATTCGGAGGCCTCTCTCCCTGCTGCGCTGGCCTGGGAAGCATGAGGAGCTAGGAAGTGCTGCAGTCAGCTGGTGTCTTCTCCGGCCATCGTGAAGCACAGTCAGCTGCAGAATAGCTGGAGGTGCGTGGACATTTCAGATGAGATGAACAACCTCAAACAGCCTGAGCTTCGTCAATGAGCATGGCGCATACAGCCTGGATCCTAGGCAAGCCTCCTTACTGTTCAGAAGTACTGGAAGATTTCCGTGCACAGTTAATAGTCTCCAATCCCAAAAAGCACTGGGAGGAAAGGGGATCTTGCAGCTAAGTGACAGAGCCAGGACCCGGGAGAGTTGGGTTCATGTCCACATCCTCGTCCAGGCGCTTTGCTGGGGAAGGAAGCTGGCAGCGAAGACACAGGGTAACTGGGTTTCCATTTCCAGCCTACTGTTTTGTGAAGCATCGTCTTCCCTCTCCCAATCCAGTCTCTGGAGAACGTAACGCTCGCTGCGTGTGCATCCAGTGCCCAGCACAACGGGGCCTGGTCCCGTAATCTGCTACAGCCTCCAGGCTTCTCTGGGCCGTAAAGAAAAGCACAACAAGCGGCAGTTTGCTGTTCCCATTGCCCTCCCAGGCAGTTGTGGCCGCTCAGCTCTTCCAAAAGCAGCAGAGAAGACTCCTATGCACCCAATGCCGAAGAAAATTGCCCTCGCCGTGACACCTTATAACACATTTCCCTGATGAAAGGCTCCACGTAGTACCTTGTCTTCGGTGACATTTTACCAAAATAGCCCTCTTTACACTAAAATAGCCCTCTTTACTCTAAACCTGTCCTGAGCCACCCATTCTCCCAACAGCCTTGGCGGGCAATTGGCCTCATAACAGCGGAAGCAACAAGGCTCCTCTTCCCACAGAAATTTGCCTTCCTGCGGTTAAAGCAAAAAAACCAACAAACCACGTGAACACCACTTGGCAGCCCAGGCAGTGTCAGCAGCAGTTTAAGTTTATGGGAGATGCGAAAAATGAGAGCATTTAGCATTTAACGAGCCTGTAACACAGCAGTACAGGCACACGCTCCTGGTCCCGGTGAGAGGTGCCCTGCAGCTGTACGTTTCATCCCTGAAATCCTTCAAGTATCTCCAAAGTTCGGAGCCGGCCTTGGGAAGGGCAGCCGGGCGGCTCTGGAACAGACAAAGCTCTCCACCTCCAGGGCAGGGCTGCCACATGCTCCCATGCCAGGGCCCATGTAGACATCTGCACCCGAGTGCGTTTCCAAGGACAAAACTGCTGTGCGTGAACCAACCTGAAGTGAGCACCGCTTCTGGCTGGCTTTGCTCGGCTTCCCTTTCAAGTGGCACGTGAAAGGGCTCAGGGCTGCTTCACTCAGCTCGACTCCTGACACTAGCCCCGACAGGTGGGAAAAGACAGCGATGCCACGCCGGGAGGCTCAGTGAGGGTAGTGGAATAAAAGATAGCAAAGGCCCCTTTTCTAAAGGTCTGCTGAGCTCCTGTCGAAGCTGCAGGGACAGAGCGAGACAGAAGCACTTCCCTGGGCATACAGAAACACAGAGCTATTGCCCTCTGGAAGCAGGGGGAGTACGCGGCACATGTGCTGCATACATGTGTTTGTGCTGTGCTGGTCACAAAGGACTCCTGCCTGTTGCCGTGTGCCAGGGCGTGTATTGGCAAGGGAACAAAGCAGCTTTTGTAGCTGCGGAAGTGACGGTGGTTTCCCAGCGTTTGCTCTTCTCAGCGTACCAGGGCGTGGACCAGGGAGGGAAGCCCGTCGGGAACTCGGACCTGGCTGCTTCTGCATCCAACCCAGGAGCTATTTCTGCTCAGCTGGTTGTCTCCTGGCCCTGATCAATCCTCTGTTCTCCTCTCCCTGCACAATGAGACTTGCCCTCCACTTCTCTGACTCCTTTTCCCTCTTCTGGGATCCAGCCATGAAATTCCCCAGCATTTCTCCTCTTCTCCTCCCTTCTCTGGCCAGGAACACATCTGGTGCTGAGAGGCAGCTCGCACAGCTGTCTGGCGGAGTGGCAGAGAATGTGACAGCTCAGGTTCGGGCATCGGAGGGGCTGAGAAATGGCGCTACTCCAGCCTTAGGGGCCACAGTGATAAAACGCTGCTTTTTCTTCAGTGTTGATTCCATCTCCACAGTCTCTGTCAAGCAGATGGTGAGCTTGGAAAGGAGGCTTTCCATATCCCACTTTGTGCAGAATTACCTTACCCATCCCCATGGGAACCTGCAGGTGACTGGGCAGAACAGGTGGGATGGCAGTAGATGGGCAAGCGATTGCTTGGACATTTTTCCCCTGATACAGGTCCCCAAGGGGCAGACGGCTGCTGTTCAGGAAGGCTGCACAGACATACAGCCATGCTATGCACCAAAACGTTCCCTCTAGTGCTCTGGTAGAAGACATACAAGCGACACCACAAAAGCTATCCGGCCTTGCAAGACCCATGCCGTAATAGAGCACTCTCGCTGCCCTACATTCAGTTAAAACACGTGCGCGTTGATACAGGGCTGGTTGCACAGTACACACAAATTCTCCGAAACCCCTGGGCTAACCAAGCCAAGAGATCCATTAAAAACAGCCAAGAGCGCCTTCTATTTCCTTGGCATTTTGGAACATCTCACTTCGGGAAATATCCCTCGCAACAGGCTAAGGCAGCTGAAAGCTCAGGGTGTCACTCAGATGGCAAATCCCTATCTTTGCTCTATGCCTCCATCATATCAGGAAATGTGTCTCTCTGACAATGCATTTGATTTTTAAACTTCTGAGTGCTGCTCTCCTGAAAGTGGGCAAAAAATGTTGCCCAGCTTGGGAAAGAGAGATGGGGAAGTGCTGGTTCGCCTTACATGCCTGCGGGACTTGATATTTCAGAGACACAAATGCAGCGGAGCTCCAATTCCCCTGGGAGGTGGATGCTATTTTGAGCACGTGGGAGAGACTGGGGAGACAAAAGCCAGCAGACTCAGAACAGCTCCCAGCTCACTTCTGCTCAAATTAGCCGTGGCCTGCAGATACCCAGAACAACTGTGGTGCCAACCTCCCTGCCCCGTGGGGCTGCAATGCAGCACTGGAACAGACCCCTCTTCCCAGCACTGTCGTGCTGGCGTCTGCCTGAGTTGTGGGAGATGCATTCGCCTCCGTCTTAAATGAGAATGGACCCAAACTCTCCTCAAAATCCTGGTTGTTGCTTGTAGTCTCTTGGCATCCTTCAGTGCTGTTCACAGACATTGGGGTTCAGTGGTGTCCTCCAGCTCAAGGGCTAGCACTGGGGTTGTATTGCTCCGGGTAATCCAGAACCCCTGCCTTAAGCATGGGTGCACGAGGCATGACAACACCCTGCTTGTAGGACAGGAGATGCAGACACTGCATAGTTGCACATGGGGCACTCATAGCTCCGCGCCTACATTAAATCAGGTCAGTTCAGCCCCTGAACAGCAGGGAGCACAGAGACAAGACTGCACAAAGCAATGCAGTGTGGGATAGCAGCAGGAAGACTCCCAGAGCTGGAGTCATTCTTGCAAAATCCAGGCATGTCTACACCAACCTTTTTTTCCCCAGACTAACTCATCCTAAAACAGATGCTATGCACGTACAAAGTAGACGATCTGATACACAAGCCATTGCTGCGTCATCACAACAATCGATACTGGGTGGACTCAGGGCCTTGCACCCCAAAAAACCAAAATTTAATGTAAAAAAGCCTCCCTGTCCTGATAAGTCCTTAGAGCTCAATTCAGCTCTCGTGTGAAGCCTTCAAGGGATGCTGGATCTGACTGTCACAGAAAACGTGAAAAATAAACCCAGTTCACATTTCCCTAGTGCCTGTCATTCAAGGTCCCCCCCTCCCCATACTTTGGAAAGAGAAGTATAACCCAAGGGGGCAGCGATCTATCCAGAGTCACTTGAGTCACAGCCGAGGGCAAAACATGAAATCTAGAAACCCGGAGCTGATCTGCCCCTCTTCAGCCGCTGCCGAGTTAGCCACAGAGAGCAGCCAACTAAAAATATCCATTCTGCAAGCAAGTTATTTGCAAACAAATCCCCTTGTTATTCTTCTCCCAAGATCTGACCTCCGGGTTCTGTATTTACCTTGGGAGAGGTGCTATTAAGCCAGAACTAAATTGGTTGGTTTCAATTTGCTCCGACCCGCAGGAACAGTTCTTTCTATTTTTAACAACCCCCCCACTGCAACACATGCTGCAAGCTTCGCTTCGAATGATCCCAAAAATGGTCTAGTTTTGCTGCCAGGCCAGAAGCTTCCCCCCACACAAACCTGGCAGGATGTTGGAAGGAGGTCAAAAGCCTCCTCTGAATCACAAACCTTTCTGCGAAGCTGCTTACATCTTTGAAGTTAAGGGCCTGAGGCGAGGCTCGTGTGAACCATTTAGGTAGCTTTGGTTATCAGTGGATGCTGGAGATGCCTTGACATCTAGTCTTGGCTAGGGAAAAAAGAGCTTTTCAAAATACGGTCTAGGCTGAAAACATCTAAGTCGGTGCCTGAGCAGAATATCAGATCCCATCAGGAACCCTTTCACAGCTCGGGTTACCAAAAAGTTGCTGGCTCGAGTAGGCAAGGCGGCGATCTGCATGCAGAGCGCGCTGAACGACCTTGAGCGGTAGTCGGTTAAAGAGTGCAGAAACTGCCTATTTGACAAGGCTATTAAAAATCCTTAACAGAGGGCAGAGCAGCTCTTCGGAGAGGGAGAAGTCAAGCCTGGCAGTTGTTAGAAGCCGTCCAGCCTGGTTAGAAGATTTCCAGACCTGGGTCTTATCTTACAAGGAGCAAACCCTTTGTACACGTGGCCCGCAACAAAGCTCAGCCCACAGAGCAGAAACGGTGGCACCCGGCCCCTGGCACCACACAAGTTACTGAAGGCGAAGGGACAGGAATGGGACACGGCAGGGGACACCTACCCCACTGGACCACACGTAGTAGGTATAGGCCATGGCTTCCTTCTTGTTCAGCTTGTAGACCTGCTGCAGCTTCTCCCAGTAGACATGGGCTTCCACCTCCTCGTTCGCAAAGCTACGAACAGTCTTCATGGCCGAAATGGTTTCTTCTGCCGTGTTGTTGGCCTTTGCCAGAGCACTCTGAACTTCCTTGGAGAGCTTCTGCAGAGGGCAAAGAGGGGAGGGGAAGCAGAAGAGCAGAGTTATTTTCCTCCTCCAAACAACACGCTGCCCACCTGAGAAGCAGGGGTTTGGAGACCAGGGTCAGTTCACCGTCCCTCTGTCCCCAGGCTGGCAGGCCACTGTGGACCATAGCCCTCCAGAGTCACCATTATTGTTACTTGTAGAGTGCCAAGAGGCTGAAACGGAAACCAGAGACCTGTCGTACACACAGACACGCAGAGGAACGGACACTTCCAGCTCCAAGGGGCTGGCGAGTCTGAACAAACAAGTGTCATCCCGGTAGGAGAACGGATGCTTTATCCTCCCTGTTTAGCAGGCAAAGATCCCAGACTCAGGGCCGGATTAACCTTTTAGTGGGCCCTAGGCAAACAAACTCATGGACCCCCAGCTGAAGCTGAAATTTTTATATTACTTTTTGCACGCAATAATTATATGTAGAATAAGCACAACTGGGCCCCTTCTCCACTTAGAGCCCTTGGCATGTGCCTAGTTTGCCTATGCGTTAATCCGGCCCTGCCCAGACTAAACGATATGCCCAAGGCTGCAAAGGAAATCGGTGGCAGAGTTCAGAACTGACCCCAGATCCCCAGAACGTGTTGGGATCTCTAAGCACATGGGGACAGTTAGCAAGGCCCCACGACAGCAGCTAGGAAGAGGTTCCCCAGGTGCATGCCCCAAAGCGGCTCATGTACACACACAAGGCAGTGAATGATGTACAGCCACTACCCAGGCTGCGCGTTCGCTCTCCTAGCAAGACGGAGCTCAAGGGGAAGGGCCACGGTGGCTGTGATGACTCTGCTCTTGCAGCATGCCAATGTGCACATGCCATGTTGGAGGCTTTCCCTAGAGAGGCCCGAGTTGCCTCATGGCTAGAAGCACAGAGCCGGAGGAGCATGAAGGACGCAACCTGCTTTTCACAGAAGAGGAAGCGTGCGCTGACCGAGTCGAGTGCTCCACCCCATGGAGGACGCGGCGCTTAGCTTCTGGAGGAGGGGCGAGCCATACGGGGCTGGGCAGCTCCTGAGCGCACACCCTGACCGGTATTACAGGTTCTGACAGTGTGGGCAGCACAGCAGTTGAATCAGCACAGGCAATAGGAAGGGCTCGGTTACATCATCCCTGGGGCCCTGGGGAGGATGCCTCCCCGCGGCACGTTTTCTATTGTCTCACCCAGCCTTGCTAAAGTCTTAGGCTACAGGGAGTCCGCCAGATCTACCCTCTAAGAGGAGTCACGGTGGGACTCAGAAGGGAGAGGAACAGAGGAAACTCAGGGCACGCAGCACTGGACATGGTGCACACCCAGCTCTTCCTTTTAGGCGACACACACCTTTTATATCCCCACTGCTGGAGACTGCACAGCTCCATTAGCCCGGCTAAGAGAGAGAGGGAAGCCTGAAGACAGAGGGACTTCGAATGCCCAGCAACCTCCTGCTTGCTCAGCTTGATGAGATGAGACCCACTGCGCACACGCCCAGCACCTCCCCCACTACAGGCGGGAAACAGCCAAAGTCTGGACAAGAGTCTGGGGTGAACAGGTGTGGCCAGGACAAGCAGCAGGATCTGGTTGGGAGAAGTGACTCCTTCGAGGAAGCGATAGGCAAGGCCCAGGCAGATTCAGACCGATGTAAGAGGGGCTAACGTTCACTGCAGAGTCGATAGTGATGGCTAGCCACAGCGCAGTCCTCTCCCTATCAGCAGCACCAGACAGTCAAGTTATACTCCCCGCCGTGCTGCAACCTTGCTTGCCTTCTTGCTGAACGCCATGGAAGCAGATGAATTCCTTTGAGCCACGGCTGGCTCTGGGCACAGGTCCCCACAAGGTCAAGTCTGGCCTCATCCCACCTCTCTTTGCTCACTGCTCATCTTCAAATCAGGCCAGAAAAGATGTCATAAGTCACTTGGCTACCAGTCGCCTCGTGGGGGGCTAAGAGGGAGTGGGCATAAGCAAGAGAGATGAGCCCTCTGCCTACCTTGTAGTATTTGCCATAGAGGTCAGACACCAGCATGATGATGGGGAAGCCCATGAACGTGACCAGGGAGAGCTGCCAAGACAGGCTGAACATGAAGGCAATCACTCCCATCGCCTTCACCATATTACGCAGGAAGATGTTGATGTTCTGGGACACCAGGTCACTCACAATAGTGGTGTCCGATGTCAGCCGGGAGATGATGTCCCCTGCAAGAGACAGGGTGGGGATGGAGAGACAGCACTGAGCCATCACCGTCCCCGGACTACCTCCCACCCTCCCATTAGGTGAGCCACATGTGATTTCTTGACGCACGAGCCCACCCAAAAGTTCATCAGGGAGATGCAAAGCCATGTGCACAGACCTGGATGGACAGATCTGTGGGGAGGACCTCTGATCTAGACTCCCGGGGTTCAAATCCAACCTCCATTAGCAGAGGCTGGAGGCTCTTACTCCCAGCTGACAGCTCCAGGGATGGTGTAAACCTAGGCTGGCAGGTCTTACCCAAAGCCTGAACAAAGCATCCTCAGCACAAAACCTACAACCATCCCGGGCACTTTTGCTGGTAATTTTGGTACAGGCTAAGAATCAACTGGGCTAGGGAGGCTGAGCCAGCCTCACATCCCTAGAGGCAGTGTGGAGACACCCTGGTTGTTAGGGGTGCACGGGACTGTGCGGTTATCGGATGCCGCCCTGACGTTGAGGGCACCTACAGCCCCAGGGCCGTCGCCTGGTGCTAAATTCATGCAGATGTTTTTAATAAAAAACTAGAGTTTACATTGTTCTGGGTCCACATCCTTGGTGCCCAAGAGCCAGAACACATGAGCGTGCAATCAGTTCAGTGCATCAGTTTAAGCCCTGGCTGCTCAGCTGTTTTTATGTGCAGTGCACTGAACTGACCTGGGCTCCTTCCTGTGTCATCCTAGAACCCAAGCGGGCAAAGCCCGATGAAAAAAGTACATGACATAGACAACTCCTGCAGTGGTCCCCCGGGGTGAAACACCTTGGGTTTTGGAAGGGCAACTGGGTTTTGGAGGCTTCTGCATCCTGTCGTGGTTCCAAAGGAACCCCGTGAACTTTGGCTGTCCCCTGTGCAGACATGACTACAGAGGGACAGAGAGCCAAAGTCGTGGGCGTCTTGGTCACGCTGCATGTTATGGCCAGAAACCTCAGCCCGCTGGCCAGGCCGGTTGAGACAGGATCTACTCACCTACTACAAGCAAACTCTTTGTCTACGGCTACCCCCGTCACACCCTGCAATAAGGGTATTAGGATCCCCACCCACCTTAAATACGGCAACAGCCTCGAGGCTAAAAATACTGTGGAGGTGGAATTAAGTGAGGGAAGAGTTATTCTGAGTGTCGTCAGTGCTCCTCTATAGAAAAGGCCCTTTGGAAAATGGAAAAAATACAGAGACGGGTAGGGTTTGCTTTTCAGAGGTGCAATCCATGGAGGCAGCAGAGCTAAAACGTGATGGATTTGAAGGTAGCAGTGCCCCTGAGCGGGGACTGGAGACACCTGATCAGCAGGAGCTGGAGAGAGGTGGAAAAATCAGGGGAGATGAGCTGTGGTGGGACAGCAAGGAGGCCCTGTCCTTCCAGTGTAATCCAGTTCAGGTCAATAGTGACTGCAAGTGTGAACCCATTGAGGGCTGTATGGAAACCACTGAGGTGCACAGACAGGGTAGCGAAAGGGACGCTTGGGTGACACGCTGGCTAGGAACACGGCTTTCTATCTTCCCTACGGCTAGTCCAGAGAGCAACAGCTCTCTACTGCTACCAGCCAACGGGGCAGCTCCTCTGGCTCCAAAGCTGTCTCTGCTGTTGTCTATCCCTACTGAGGACCGGGAGGTGGACTGTTACACCCACAAGGCATAGGTTGCACCCTTGTACAGATGCACAGGGGACTTGATTGTGCTACCAGTACTCCTATTTTCGACACGTGGCAAGATGCAATTTAGCCATGCATCCTTAGCCCAAGGCCCTGACAAGCATTTTAGCGGGTACTCGGAAGTCACTGCTTTAGCGTTTCAGGTCAATGGCTTCTTAAGCTCAGATCCTCAAAGCCTGAGATACCAAACTGGAGTAGCATGGTCTGAGAAATGCCCCTGGGAGAAACCCACCTGTGCGGTTCTCATCAAAGAAACTCATTTCCTGCGAGACCAGTGACTTGAAGAGGCAGTTGCGGAGTCGAATGTTCAGCCTGGCGAATACGAGCGTGAAAACGCCACCCCGGATACCTGCGGCAAATGAGCTAATTGCAGATAAGAGACGTTATAGAACAATGGACACGAAATACAACTCAGCAAATCAAGCAAGCCTCCGCATACCAATTCGATGCGAGGGAACGGGGGCCACTGATAGCACATGGCGCTGCCAAGGTCCATCACCCTGGGACCTCCAGATCCTGCTCAAACATGGATTAACTGGGTCTGACAAACACTCTGGATATCATTATGCCCATTTTACAGGGGAGAAAGCTGAAGCAGGAAGCAGGAACGTGATCTCCCCAGCAGAAACATGCCAAAAGACCCCAGTTGCCACCTCTCGGGCTGTGCTTTAATGACTAGACAAGGCCTCTTCGACATGTTATCATCCGGGCATCCCGTATGGTAGGTGGCACCCACTTCCGTTAGGAGGTGGGACATGAGAAATGTTTGTAACCAAACTCAGAACTGGGCTAATATCACCTGGTTTCAGTACCAACTAACTTTAAACAACAGAATAGAAATAAAACATGCCTTGGTCAAACCCAGGTTTCTTTTAGAGAGTTTCAAACCACAAACACTTCACGTCATTCCTACTCAAAAGCAGAATAATCCTGTCTCATCTCAGGTGTGTTGGTGCTGGTGGGGGGCAACCTGCCGTAACTGGCCTTGGCAGACAAGCTGTCACGATATCCAGTCCCCCCTGCCCGCTGGATCTGCCAGTTTTGTGCAGCTGTCACCAGCTGGGGGGCAGGCATGGGCTGATACCTCGACTCTGAGCTTTCCCTGACCTCAGAAGAGGCATCAGAGAGACAAAATGCAAACAAGCTGCTTAAAATTTCCTGTCCCCGCTGGAGTTTGTAAATACTGTGGCTGTCTATGAGTCCCCGGTCATCCCTCCGCTAACCATAACCGCCACTCAGAATGACACAGCCGGGGCAGGGAATTACACCTTTGTGCTCGAGAATGGCCATTAGCCATACAGAGCAATGCCACAAGGCCAAACGCTTCGTAAAACACTCACCCAGTCTTGACAACACTGGGGAAGAAGGTTTAGACCTCAACACAAGAAACGTCACGCAAGCAAAGCACAAATAATCTGCCGCAGTTACCTTCCTATGGCGAGCAGAGACATAATCATCACTGCGGTGGAAAACTGGTCCATGCTCTTCTGGATGACTATGCCGTCAATGGCCAAACCTGTGTAATATGGAAGGAAGGTTTCTCCTGTTTGGAGAGGCAGAAGACAAGAATTAGAGCAACATGCAAGGTTTTAGACGCAGAATGGTTCGGGGGGAGGAAGATATAGCAGCAGAGGTTCATTCATTTCCAAAAAGAATAAGATCTTTGAAGGCCCGTAGACATCCGAGCCGCTAACACCTGAGATTACTGCAGGATCTAACAAGCTTTTCACCACCGATCAGCGTTCCCTCTAAGCCGTGCAGTGTTCGAGGCCGTGCAAGTGCGCCTGGCACCGCAGCATGAGCGCGCCTGCGCGGCCGTGCACGCCGCACAGCTTCGAGGGAACGCTGCCACTGATGCTGCTTGTTTGCACCACTCGGCCCAGGGGGGCCAAGGAAATGGCAGCGTTGTCACGGACCCGACGAGAAGCAGGTTCGGACTCTGGTTTCCTGAAAGATTCAAAGTC